CCTTCAACTCCTGGGCTCAAGCGAGTCTTCTGCCTCCGCCTCCCAAGTAGCTGGGACTACAGGCACCCGCCACAATGCTCAGCTATTTTTTGGTTGCAGCCATCATTGTTGTTTGGTGGGCCTGGGCTGGATTCTAACCTGCCAGCTCAGGTGTATGTGGCTAGCGCCTTAGCCGCTTGAGCCACAGGTGCCAAGCCAGACTCAAATCTTAAATGATAACCTTTAAATGGGAAGAGTCTGAGTGATTTAGAGGTTGGTGTGTCTGTGCACACTATTCTCCAGTGCTGAGCCGTATGCCTGCTATTAGAAGGTGCCCCATAAATATTTGTGAAATGAACGGATTTGTGTCATGGAGTACTTGCCTAGGGTCACAGTGATGATGATAGAAAAAGGATTTGAATTCAATTTTCCCAACTCATTGGAGTTTGCTAGAACTCCAGCAATTTAATTAGCTCCTGTTTCCTCTTCTATAACATGGAGCGTGGCTTGAGTACTTCATAGGGTTGCTGTGAGGATGAGTGGAGCATGCGAAGCTTGGTCCTTGGCACATGGTAAACACTGAATGAGGCCACTGTCATCATCTTATGCAGCAGCTGAGATGGTGTGGCATTCCATGTATTTGCTTATGTCAAGAGTAGGAAAGTCTAGAAAACTGTATCCCTTGGGAAAATTATCTAAGAAGTTAGTTAAGAATGTGCTACTCTATTGTATTGAAGTTTTTTTTTTATTAAGTCAAATACACATAGATCATGAATACATCAAATGTGGGTTACAATGTGTTTTTTTAAATACAATCTGACATGGTTACATCAAAACAATCAACATAGCTTTTGCCTCATTTACTTGATTATTGTGTTAAGACATTTATGTTCTACACTTGACAGATTTGACTTGTACCCTTGCAATATGCTCCATAGGTGTGGTCCTGCTGTTTTATGAAGTAAAACTGTTAACCCTTTTATCTATACACTGTGCAGGCAGGAATTGGTGGTGGGTCTCACAAAGGAACTGACCATGAACATTAACCTAACTAATGCTGGGGAAGATTCCTATATGACAAGCATGGTTCTGAATTACCCCAGAAACTTACAGTTCAAGAGGATACAAAAGGTAACCATAGCAGCAGCTTTGGAAACAGACCCCTCATCCCCTTCCCTCCCTGCATGCCTGCTTTTCTGTGGCAACCTCCTAACTGGTGTCCCTGCTTCCAGCCTCCTCCTGGTCCATCCAATAAATGGTGAGTATCTAAATGAGTCCCCTTCACTCCAGTCGTGTGCTGTGGATCCATGTTCTGCCCTGAAAACCTTCATTGGTGCCATTTTGCTGTATGATCGTCCAGCCCTACATGCGCTCTTTCTTAACCAGGGTTCTGAGAGATGAACACGCTCTAATGCCTTAAGGCATTGAGAAAGCAAAATTTAGCTTGGACAGGGAAAAGAAAAAAATCTGTCCTGCCATTTACCAGGCTGGGATCACAGACACAAAGCCAGCTACAAAGATGCTAGGAAAACAGTCTTTCTCCCGAGGTCACCCTGGAGCTGTAGAGTAGCACAACCCTGAGAAATTGTTTTCTAAAATCGCAGATGATCAGAAACTTTGCATTTGAAATCATGTGCCCGTAATTATGAACCCATCTCATTCTTGCATGGAGAAGCGAGGTCACTTTGACAAGGAGAGGCAGTCTCAAGTTCATCTGAGGTACAGAGCTGCAGGTCGTGTTTCTGGACACAACGTTCCCCTCTAGAAGAATAGTTTCCAAAGAAGCAGCCCTGGGTCCACTTCACAGTCTGGCCCTGATACCGATTGGGCCATTTGCACACAGCCCTGCTTTGCTTTCAGGCCATCCAAACACTGATTTACATTTTGCCTGAACTCCACCTTCCCCAGAGTTCTTTAATAACTGTTTTTCCCTCTGGTGAGACATATCACAGTGCAGTTTTCCTCAATGCAGTGAGTCAATAAACCTGACTTTGTAGAACTATAGGTTTGTCCCTGGCCATGTTAGGCTATTTGGCCTAGAACAGTATCTATTACATGAATGAAATTCTATCCATTTAGAAGAGAACTAGTAATGAGGTATGGTGGCTCGCTCCAGTAATCCTAGCACTTTGGGAGGCTGAGATGGGTGGACTGCTTGATCTCAGGAGTTCGAGACCAGATGGAGCAAGAGCAAGACCCAAAGAAGCAGCCCTGGGTCCACTTCACAGTCTGGCCCTCTTTTCTGTCTCTACTAAGAGAAAAACTAGCCTGGTGGTGTGGTGGGCACTTGTAGTCCCAACTACTTGGGAGGCTGAAGCAAGAGAATCGTTGCAGCCCAAGAGTTTGAGGTTGCTGTGAGCTGTGACACCACGGCTCTACCCAGGGCAACAGAGTAAGACTCTGTATCTAAATAAATAAATAAATAAATAAAAGAACTAGTGATACACCATCCTTGGGAGAATTAATAGCCAATCCAATCACTTTCTGTACTCAGTGGTCCAGATGAGGAGGCCTGACTAGATGATAGTGCTTGGCCCATGCTGGCTTTTCAGCCCATCTCAGTGTGTTAAGTTTGAGACTTTTTTTTTTTTTTTTGAGACAGAGTCTCACTCTGTTGCTCTGGAGTGCTGTGGCGTAATCATAGCTCCCTCAAATCTCAAACCCCTAGGCTCAAGTGATCCTTCTGCCTCAGCCTCCTGAGCAGCTGGGACTACAGGTACCCACTACCACTCCTGAATAATTCTTACTATTTTTAGTAGAGACAGGGGTCCTGCTCTTGCTCAGGCTGGTCTTGAACTCCTCAGCTCAAGCAATTCTCTGTTGTCAGGCTCCCAGAGTGCTAGGATTATAGGCGTGAGCCACTGCCTGGCCTCCGTGTGTTTAAGTTTGTATAGGTACGAGGCCCAGTTCAAATGTCTCCCCTGGGAAGACTTTACAGATTCTTCCTAGTTGGAATTCAGTTCTTTCTCCACAAATTCTCCAAAAATTTGTGCCTCTCTTGCAGAAGCACCCCTTAGCCCTTGGGTTTAAATCCCTCAGGGATCTACTCCTGAGCCCTCCTGCCCAGCCTGTGAGGAAGAGAGGGACCAAGTCTGACTTATTTGTGTTCCCAGTCTCTCGCAGACTGTCTGGCTTGTAGAAAAATCAGTGAATGTTTGCTGAACTGGTGTGAGGAAGCTGCTTCTTCTTTTGGTCTTTAAAAAGGGTATCTTCTTCTGTGTTAACAGCCTCCCTCTCCAAACGTCCAGTGTGATGACCCTCAGCTGGTTGCTTCCATCCTGGTCATGAACTGCAAGATTGGTCACCCCGTACTGAAGCGGTCATCTGTGAGTCTGCTTTGACTGGTTGGCTCTTCTCACTACCGTGGAAGTGGTGTCTTCTACAGCCCAGTCTGGTGTTTTTTCTTTTTTTTTTTTTCCTTGTAGAACTCATAGTCTACCCAGTCTCCTTTGAATTTCCGTTGTGGTTTCTATGTTTTCCTTTCCTGTACCATCCATCAGTCCTTAGAAGTGCTTAGAACTGCTAGGTTTGCTCTGCAAGTAGGGAGTGGTGGGGCTGGGAGACGGCTTACTAGTATCCAGCCAGAGTTCAACTGTGGACTCACTCAGCACAGCAGTGAAGTTGTGGGTCTTATGGAAGGCGTGTCAGACCAAAGTTATCCGTCCCGAGGTGAGTCCCTGTGCTGCCATTGATGAGCTTTGTGCTGCCGAAGGAAATCACTGAAGGGGTTTCCTCCACTGTGAAGGGGGAATAAAGCTGCCTGTCTTGCTTACTCCATTATTTGTATTGTGAGGTTTAAATGAAATAATGGATGTTTGAAAGTATGCTGTGCTACCAAAATGTGAGGAACAGGAATTGTTTCCTAGGTCTGAGAAGTTTGAACTGTGGGTGAGATAAAGAGGAATCCAGTGACCATTTTTTCCCCTTTAAAACAGGCAAATGTTTCAGTAGTTTGGCAGCTAGAGGAGAACACCTTTCCAAACAGGACCGCAGACATCACTGTGACTGTGACCAAGTAAGTAGTGCCTGTGTCGTAGCACTCGGGCTGTGACCCTGCTAAAAATCTCCCTCCCAGCTGCATGCTGGGAGAGCTATTTGTGTTCCTTACTGCCAGGAAGTGAAACCTCAGTGAGCCCACAGAAGGCAGTGGCTCAGCTTTCTCTTCTGGTTACCCATATTCAAAATGTTCTTTTATTTGCACATAAAGTAAAACTATGGCATAGACTGGTAGAATGAGCTTTGGATTAGAGTTCTAGTTCTAGCTCATTTAACTTTAGAATAGGTCTGTCATCTGCAAAATATGTCTGGGGGTAAGGTGAAGAATAGTGTTGGGAAGAGGTTTGCAAATGAGGGTAATTCTGCAGAAGTTTTTGATTGCCATGACTTGGGGTGGGGGGTGCTACTGGCTATAGGGGTAGAGGCTAGGATACTGCTAGATACCACCTAGAATAGTACAGGACTGCCTCCATAGCCCAAGAATTCACTGGCTCAAAATGTCAATAGTATGGAGATTGAGAAACCTTTTAAAAATCAATATTTTTCAGAGAGTGGTCTTCCAGCGATTCTTTTGCACTCTAATTGCTTATCTCAGAGAGCCTTTTCTTTCTTTTCTTTGAGACAAAGTTTCACTATGTTGCCCTAGGTAGAGTGCCATGGTGTCACAGCTCACAGCAACCTCAGTCTTGGGCTTAAGCGATTCTCTTGCCTCAGCCTCCCAAGTAGCTGGGACTACAGTCGTCTGCCACACTGCCTGGCTACTTTTTGGTTGTACATTTTTTGGCAGGCCAGGGCTGGGTTCCAACCGGCCAGCTCCAGTGTATGTGGTTGGCACCCCAGTTGCTGAGCTACAGGCGCTGAGCCTGAGAGCCTTTTTATCTGACTCCTCCAGTCCCCATGACCTTGGGAAACCAAGGTAAAGCAGCACCTGTTATATACAAAGCTGGTGTGCTGTGAACTAATGTTCTTATTCCTAGTTCTAATGAAAGAACGTCTTTGGCCAGAGAGACCCACAGCCTTCGATTCAGACATGCCTTTACTACAGTTCTTTCTAAGTAAGTACTCCCAGGGGGCCAACACCAGTGTGACTGCCATGCCTGGGGGACAGCTTTAGTCATCTCTCCCGTGGAGGGAAGTGGTGGTGGTCAGGCTGGATGTGGGCATTGTTTTTCTGAGAGGAGGCTCTTTAGAACCCAAGGTCCAACATTGATCTCTAGGACACTTAACAGTTGGGTTTTGGGTTTTAGGAATCCCATGGTGGTCATCAAAGCAGCAGGGCCAACTGGTGTTGCTATAAGAGGGAACTTACATGTTACTATAGAGGGAAGAAAGGGGCTGTGGGACTGGGATGGGAGAAAAGTAAGGCTACTGTGATACGACTTTAGAAAATGAACCAGCCCTACTATACAGAATTCAAATACTCTACCTCATCCCAACTTCCCTACAACCACTTTACATTTTGACATTCAGCTTTATTTTGAAGGATCTAATGCCCTCTATGATATTGTATCCATCTGGTAGCATTTAAGTTCATTCAAAATGAAGAGACCTTGAGGCCTAACATACCTTTCTTGATTGCAGACCATTAGTAATGTACATGAACACAAGCCAGAAACTTTCGGAACACAAAGAATTCCCCATCACTGTAAGTGCTTAGTGACTATCTCTGCAAAGTTACTGGTGGCAAAGCATCACTAGCTGGCCTCCATACTTTCTGACTTTAATTTGCAGATACATGGGGAAAATCTCTTTGGAGCTGAATTTCAGTTGCAAATCTGCGTTCCGGTCAAATTTTTAGGTCTCCAGATTGTGAAAGTGAAGAACCTTATGAAGACTCAGGTAATTTAAAGCTATTCTTTATCATGATCACATCTCTTTCTAGAGCAGAGGTTCTCAAATTTCCTAATGCCGTGGCCCTTTAATATAGTTCCTATGGGTTGCGACCCACAGGTTGAAAACCGCTGTTCTAGAGTGTCTATGGATTCTCCAAAGACATAAAAACTAGAGTTCTAGAAAAAAGAGAAATTAACAATGGGAAAACATTAGGCATAAATTACCAAAGTCATGTGTAGAAAGAATATCAACCACTCGGTCTTAAAGCAACATTTCAGTTTTCTTCCCCTTTGTGAAAAATAAGCAAAAATCCAAACCTTTTAGTAGCCATAGAAACATTTGTTTTCCCTTTGAAAAATCAATAAATTCCACTTATGTAAGTGGTGACCTTGATAAACATGAATGAATAAACAGGTGACATTTCTCACAATTCCCCTCTAGATTTGGCAACCTTGATACCTAAAGCAACATACTCTTATATTGAATGATTCATGTTATATTGAGGCCTGAGCTTCCTTGGTTTCTGCCCTCTACTCCAGGCTACATAAATTGGCTCAAAAATGAAAATCTTTATGGAAGGGACTCTGCTATCCATTAGAAAGAATTGTAAGTTATAAGTCCTTGTTTTCATGGGTAGTTTATTTTTAAAGAACGTTTGTAATAGCAAGTTTAAATATTTCAACAAACATTTCAGTTTCCATTTGGAAACAAAATTCTTGTTTGAAAAGCTGATGGAAACATATAAAAATGCGTATTCCCACTCTGTTTTGGGGATATTAAAACAGCACCAGAGGCATTAAAGCCAGTGACCACCTATTGTGAGGCAGTAAGACACACTTGGCTTACTTAAAAAGACTATGTTGGCAGAGCAGGTCGGTGGCAGAGCTGAAGTTCAGCATTGTTTTATGGAAATACTGGATCTTTTTCTTTATTTGCTTCATGGCATGAGTGTTACATTTGGTCTTGAAGGTCATTTGTGTCAGGATTTTATCTGTGAGGTAATGTAGCCACAGCACATTATTGTAAGGGTGATATTCACCCCAGCAGTTGTCATTCTCCTTACGCATGAGCCTGTAGATCTCAAACTGGTAGTCACCTTCACCTGTAAATAGGTCCTCGTCCATGGAAATGTCACAGAAAACCACAATTCCATCCCGTTCTAAGCGTGACAGGGTGTAGTCAATGATGCTGACTTGCAGCCCACAGGTGGGGATGGTGCTTGTCTTCCCATTGAGGATGTAGGGAATCTCTTTGAGGTGGGTTTTCTTTAAAAGCACATTCCCCCAATGTAAGTCTCGATGCTCAAAGTGCAACGATGCCTCTGCCACTGCTAGCGATGCTGTGATCTGGTGTAGAATACTCTTTGCAGTAGCTATGGAAGACAACTTCTTTTTCATTTGCTCTAAGTCAACCCCTCCAAACTCAAATTCCAACACAATGAAGAGCTGGTCTTCCTTAAAAAAGTCAGGTCGGTCATTTGCAGACCCCTTGCTTGAATTATATTGATCCCAGGCTTTGAGGAGAAATGGAGGGTAAGACCCTTGAACACAGTGCACTGAGTTCAGCCCAATAAATCCTTCTGTACGGTTGTACACTTCATTAGACAAAAGGCTTAACTCTTTGGAGATGATGATCTCTGGCAGTATTTCCTCAAAGGTTTTCTGATGGGATCCATTGACTAAATCTGGTCCTTCAATAGCAATGATTTTTAGGGCTACAGGTGTGTGATCAGCAATTGTTTGAAACACTTCACCAAACACCCCTTCCCCAATCTTCTCACAGTGATCTAGTTTTTCTGTGGAAAAAAAATGGCTAAAGGGAATGGGTCCTTCCTGATTGCATTCCCCATAAACCTTTTCAGCATCAGATGCCTTTTTGTTTGCACTATGTAGAGTCTTTGAGGGGCTTAACAAGTACAAAGAGGAATGCCCAGGGGAAAAAGCACTATTTGCTCTGTTCATGACAGGAGGGTTTGAATATTCTGCTATGAAGGACCCAGAGAAAGAACTGGCAACGGTATAGCTGCTGCATACCTCTGACACATCAGTCACAATTTTCTTCTTGTGAAAACTGAAGGAGGCCCTGGCTTTGGTCCAAGAGCAGGCATTCTGTACAGGAGTTAGGTCCCTGGTGAGGACTGAATCTTTTCCCATCCTTCGTCCCTTTTTAAGCTGGTGGTAATGGAGGGAGTTTTCCACTGACTCCTGATGTTTCCTCTTCCGGCATGGCCCAGTTCTCTTAGGCTTGTTGGTTCCCCCAGGTACAGTACGTACAGTGGCCTCCTTATATTTTACCTCGACAGTCCCCTGACTCTCTTGACAAGAGTCCTGCTCTGTGGCCCTCTTCTTACCTGTCCTTGATGGACCTGGGCCCTCCAGTCTGTTTTCCACTAGTTCCCTTTCACAGTAGGACTCCGTCATATTCTCCCCATCCGTCTCAAACTCAGAATCCTCAGGGTTTCCTGACTCACCAAGGCCAAAGAGAGCTGACCTGAGGCTGGCACGGGCTTGGTGGACCATCCTGGTGAACCTTCCTTCTGTTGCTGCCTTCTGGGGGCTGGGGAGAGATTCTCGGTCCAGGGAGGCTTCTGGGAAATGGAAGCCGTTCGGGACTGCAGAGGCTGCATCCAGAGAAGCGGAGGAGCTAACACAGATGATACTGTCCCTGGGCGCTAGGGACTCGGGGCCCGGCGAGGCCGGGGAGCTGAACAGGGAGGCACTGGTGCCCAGCTCGTGGCCGTCTGCGGACCGGCTGCACACGCTGAGGTCCCGACTGAGGTGGTCCGGGCTGCGGCTGGAGAAGGGCAGCGGTCGGAACTGGCCGTAGGGTGTGCTGCACTTCTGCGGGGGCCGAGGTCGCAGACGTGGGTTTCTTGGGCTTACGATCAGATTGGACCGAGATCTCAGCCTCAGACGTCTTGCGGTCCCGGGCAGGCTCGGCTGGTCTTTGGGGACTCGGCCACCAGGGCGCCTCCGCCGTCTACGGACTGGGCTGCCAGGGAAGTCCGGGTCGGCAGGATCGTCGGAAACGACAGACTGTGAGAGGCTGCCGCTGCTGGTCTCGCTGCTGCTAAAGAAACGCTTCTGGTCCTGCGGCGGGAACCACTGCGCGGCTTCCCGGACCGGGTGCCGCCGCGGCCTTCCGCCGCCCGCAACCCCGTACGTTCGGAAGAGCCGACAGCCTGGTCGCGGGAGTGGAGCCGCCATGGCCGGCACCCGCCAAGCGGTTCAAACGCAAGCACCGCGAGACTTGCGCGCATTGCCTACGCCCCCTTCGGTTGGCCGGGTCCTAGTGCCCGGCCGACGCATGCGCGTCTCGCCCTGGTCGCGTGGGCGCTGGGAGGGGGCAAAAAAACCTGGCGGTTTCGTTTGCTCAAGTTGGTTGCGGAAATGGCTTTCGTTTCAGGCCTATACTGTGTGCACCCGGAGAGAGGCGCTCACTTGTGGGAACAGTCCGGTTCAGGTAAGCGCAGCCGTCCTGAGACGCCGAGGGAGGGAGGAGGGCCAGAAGCGCGTGACTAGGGAGGCCAGGATGCTGCTTTTCCAGGGTTACTCACTGCAGCAGGCCAGTGCAGGGTTCCCCTACGGCCGCCTCCTTAGCGGTGTCACAGGGTCACATGTGCCAGGCTTGGAGTTTTGCTTGGGCCAAGGTGAGCGCTAAAACTGCTCACACCCTTCATTGTGGGACCTTAGATGCTCTGTGTCCCAAGTGTTAAAAATTTAAGCGTTTTCCATACCAGTTGTGCTACTTAGACTATTCTTTTCCAGCATGTGGAAGAATGGCATTCGGTGAACTGTACCATCACTTCAGATAAAGAAAATGTAACCGTGGCTGCAGAGATCACCTTGGATCATGCTAAGCAGGTACTTGAGACTGTGAAATGCTCTAGATTTGATTAGGCAGCTGTTCACAGCATCTCCCTTAGAAAGGATAATAGCATTTAAAATACGTATAACATGTCCAGAATAGGTCTTTTGATGCACTTTCTGCTTCATCCTGTCCTTAGCCAGTTACTTAGGCTACCCTCAGTTACAGTACCAGGAATTCTAGGAATTACCTGCGACTCTTCCCTTTCCTACATCCCCATATCTATTCCAGCAGCAAGTCTTGCCATTCTACTGCCAGAATACCTGTATACCCTAAATCCATTCACTTCTTTCCATTTCCAGGGCTACTGTTGTAATTCAGGCCACCATCTCTTTGAGGCTCTTGCAGTGAACCTGAACCCACTTTTCTTGCCTTTGCTTTCCTCACACCCTCTACAAATTTTTATGTAACTGCTATCCATTTTCTAAAAGCAAACATTAGATTGTGCCACTCCTCTGCTTAAAAAGAAAGAAGTGACTTTTGTTTTTTTTGTTGTTGTTGTTTGTTTGTTTTTTTGAGACGGAGCCTCAAGCTATCCCCCTGGGTAGAGTGCCATGGCATCACGCTCACAGCAACCTCCAACTCCTGGGCTCAAGCGAGTCTCCTGCCTCAGCCTCCCAAGTAGCTGGAACTACAGGCGCCCGCCACAACGCCTGGCCATTTTTTTTTTTTTTTGGTTGCAGCCACCATTGTTGTTTGGCGGGCTGGGCTGGGGATTCGAACCTGCCACCTTAGGCGTATGTGGCTGTCGCCTTAGCCGCTTGAGCCACAGGCGCCGAGCCAGAAGTGACTTTTGAACACACTTAAGCTAAAACCCATGCTTTTTCATGTCCTGCCAGGCACCACTTGATCTGGTCTGTGCTTAATTCTCCAACTTCATCTCCCTGTACTTCCCTTTCTTTTTCCACTGTTCTTTCTACTTAGTTTATTTTTGTCCTTTCTGTTCTTCTAGCATCCTGATACTGTTCTGGCCACTGAACTTTTGTACTTGCTATTCCTCTCTGTAACTCTGCTCTTCCTCTAGATCTTCACTGAGTAGTTTCTTCATAAGTTTAGCTCATGTGTTAATAGTCCTAGAGAGGAGACCGTCCCTGATCACTTATCCTAATGTAGGAACAGTTATCAAGTTTCACATGTTGGCAATGATTCAGATGAGATACACGAAGGGTCTCAAGTGAAGAAGCAGCAATAGGGATGGAGAAAAAAGAGACAGGTGTAAGAAAGAATGAAAAGAAAAAGAATTGTGAGGAAGTGACTTTCGGTGGGGATTGTGGCATAAGGTAAAGGGGAAGGGAAAAGAAGTTGAGGAATAACTGCACATTTCTTGTTTGGGTGACTTTGTGGATGTTGGGGCCATTAGTGGGCTAAGCACTACTAGAGAAATCATACCTTTATTTTTATTTATTTAATTTATTTTTGAGACAGAGTCTGAAGCTGTTGCCCTGGGTACACTATTGTGGCATCACAGCTCACAGCAACCTCCAACTCTTGGGCTTAAGCAGTTCTCTCGTCTCAGCATCCCAAGTATCTAGGACTACAGGCGCCCGCTACAACACCCAGCTATTTTTTGGTTGTAGTTGTCATTGTTATTTGTCAGGCCCTGGCTGGATTAGAACCCTCCAGCTCCAGTGTTTGTGGCTGGCGCCCCACCTGCTTGAGCTACAAGTACTGAGCCAAGAATTCATACCTTTATTTGTTTATTTATTTTGAGACAGAGCCTCAAGCTGTCGCCCTGGGTAGAGTGCTGTGGCATCACAGCTCACAGCAACCTCCAACTCCTGGGCTTAAGCGATTTTCCTGCCT